GATTTCAATTGTTTCTGCCCAATCAGACACAAAGAGCTTCGGTTAGAAAACTATAAGATTGTGTAATAAAACTGTGTTCATCAAGAAAGATCGAAGACGAAATAATTATGGTTAAAAGCGTTTGTGAGATGATGCTTACCGAACAAACTGATTAATTAGAATGGGAGAAAAGAAAGAAGGGAATGGAATACTCCAACGTAAATAATAAATGACTCAGTACGACTCAGCTCTGAATTTGATTGAGTTTCTAGCATGATTGAGTCCAGAATGTTCATTGTTGAATAGAACCCATCATGCCTAAATTCAAGTCTTGTTAAATCAAACCAAATGTTAACGAATTACTAGTAGGAATAATAATAATAATAATGATATTTGATAGAAGTCTTGTTAACTATTTTTTGTCCTGTCACTTCTGGTTTATATTCAGCTGTTGTTGTTAGAAGGAAACTACTATGACATTAATTTCATCTGTTCATTACTACATCATGTGATGACTTCAGTAGAACTACATGGCGGTACTACGTTAGTCAGTCGTTTTTCATCAAGTTCATAGTCTGTGCATTTCAAATATGAAAAACGTTCTGTTAACCGTTTCATGGTTAGCATTTTATAGCGAGTTAGTTTTCGACAGGTGAGATCACTAATCACATGCCCAACCCTCCTCCTTCATCCGTGTTTCGGACGGGTAGTAGTAGTAATAGTCTCAGAGAGGATCCTGGTGGAGCCCCAATGCAGGTTTATTTCTATTAGATATAAATAGAATTCTATTAGTGAATTGATGATTGTATTCTGTTGAAACTATTGTGGTGCATAATTCAACATACTACTAACTTCTTTAAGTAGTAAGGAATGTGAAACATGATTGAATGAATGAATGAATAAATTGTCAATAGCTTGTTTCAACATTATACAACACAATTCAAAGTTCATTTATTCATACAATTTGATTGTTATTAAGTGACTGTATTTGAACTTGTTATTATTATTATCATTATTATTACGGATTAGACAAAGTTCAATGCAGATTATCCAAGGTTTATGCATAGACACACATTGTATTGAAGTGAACATGAATATGAATCGGAAAATATCAATTGAACACATTCATATCTAACACTTAGATAAAAATTGTTGACAAAACATTATGAATACCATATTTTGGTAGGTGGATTCCTCATAACCAAATCATTGATTATATTGAAGTAGGAGAATAAACAGGTTTGTAGAGTGTATTACAATTTGTGGATTATACCACCATCTCATGATCAGTTTTACATCCAACATGATTCCAAGTAAAGTAATACGATATACAGTAATTAATATAATCATTTTAGTTTCTATTCATTTTCACTGGTTGTTTAACCAAAGTCTGTTGGCGATCCACCCATGATGGTTATATCATTTAGTGTATTTATATGAAATCTTTGCAGTTATAACTGTATTTATTATTATTATGATTAATTATTTGCTATATCAGATGGAATATTCAGTTGGCTTGTTAAATTGTGTACGGTAATTTATAAGAGTTTTCATCACGGGTAGATATCGTTAAGAGACCTATTTAAAATTGTGCCGCATTAAACGGTTGTTTCTTTATAGTTCGGAACTACACAGAAGTGAGTACCCATCACTTCCCACTAAATTGAACATAGGCACCACAGTTCTTGCAATCGAAATGATGTCAACTAACCACTGAGTTGGAACTCCACGAAATCACGTAAATCACAATTTCCAACTCTAGTCACTTAATAATATAGCACGAGTAACCATCAACCGATTTCGGGATGATGGGGAACATTTGTTGCTCAGGTGGATGATTATGATGGAGTATTGTTCTCTGAGCTGGATGGTTTCGTTTTGGAGCCATCATCGTTACTCTGAGCAACATCGTCAGCACGAACTTCATGTAGAATTGAAGTGTTCGAATTTCTCCACATATGGCTAACAACTCGTCCGGTAGACCTTAATGTTGATTGGTTATTGTTCACCTCTAACCAGTCATTGTTTTCTTCTTTATTTCGGTTGTATCTCCCATCCCATTTCATTTTCAAATCAATTAACTCGTCACACTTTCTCACGAGAATTTCGGAAAACCTGTCCTAAATCAGTCACTGATTTCCATTCAGTTGTTATTTACTTAGATGGATAGTAGAGACTTATGCATCACGTTTGTTTTATTTGATACTTAATAAAAACATATGTGAACGAATTATATGTCTCTAACAGAGTGTTGCTTAACCGGATGAAAGATTCAGTAGACGCCCAACTTCGAGATCAACAAGCGGGATTCCGTAAGGATCGGTCGTGCACAGACCGAATTGCGACAAAACGGATCATCGTCGACATTGAGTGATGAACGTTGGACACGGATCCTATTACAATTTGCCGAAATTCAGTTGAATCTGTTTCGATTGATCATTGTTACACAAATTGATTATTATAGATGACTATTGAATTTCGACACTCACCCATATGGTGTATCTGTAGTTTGCATAAATTTAATACTCATTCAGAAAATCCTTGACATCTAATTGTGTAGTCAATTATTCTGGAAATGAGTTATGAGATTTTATCACATGAGAGTCATATTGCACCACATCATCTTTTCATTTGTGATTTCCTTCCATACTCAACTCAATCGTCGTTAAATTGCATTCTATCAATTATCATAATCTGTCAGTACAAGGGATGTTACATAATTGTGGAATTAGAAAAGTGGTCAACGTGTGGACACAGGGAGCAAGCTACAATTCGGATAGTTCACAAGAAGCATCCATTAATCAACGACAATATTCGAATAATGACGGTGATATTTTTGCATTGAATGTAAGCTGAAATAATCTATGTATGCTTTGTTCGTCATCATGATACTTACCGACGTATAAATGCGATACAAATAAGAGACATTTAAAACTGCTCAATTGTTAACTATTTTACAGATTGTAGTGAACGAAAACACAAATGGGGATAATCGAATGCATTTAGATGCAAAATTACAGAATCACTTAGTAAAATCTGAGAACCATTCAGTAAATACTTCATTTGCAAAATGTCCATCAATTGGCACAGACTTCATTGTTCCTTTGTTTCCACACCAATCATTCTTTGTTCTCGTTCACTTTTCCTCAATCTTCCAAACCTTCTTCCATTATTCATTTCTCTTTCGATTGATAATACATACTACTAATATCTGTCTATATCAGTAGCACACACCATAAAATGAAAAATATAGAATGCCAAAATGGTTTAGTACATGATCTCAATGGTGAATATACTGCACATTCTAACAAATCGGATGAAATTGCGAAGGTCGCTACTAACAAACACACGTTCATCAGGGAGATTTTCTCGACCTTGTTATTGCTTAACTGTGGTAATATTTAGTAATGCTACGAATACATATGAACTGTTATTAAAAATTCATTTAATATGTGAAAATACTGATAATTATGTATATTTTAGAAAGATAGCTGGCAGTGGTTGGTTAAACATGAGTGCACCTATAAGAAGCATGCTCCAGACCTAATTTCCTGATTTACAATAGACCATTTATTTATATTCATATGTACCGAATGATAATACATGCAAGTTAGTTGCAAGTATCGAATTTCGCATCAGTTAAGAAACCATACAGTCATTATAAATTGAAGGACCAAGCAAAGTCATCAATATAGCGTTGTGTTTTATCAAACCTGGTTGATGATGGTTACATAATGAATGAAATTCACTTATTTCAAACAATCTACTATATTCATTCTCACTTTTCTAACAAGATTCGATATTATCTCTTTTATATTAGCAGAAACTGTAGGAATTCAAGTCAATAATACTAGTTCTAATGAAAAGCAGTGACCAATAAAGTTTAGCTGTGCCGATTGTGAGATAGTAACTCACTGAAGACAATTGTAGATGTGTCTCTCAATTTCGTGGATTAGTTGAAGTCAGACATCAATACCGTTGGGTGCTGACTCAGTGGTCTAGAGCATAAGCGTTTGCGCGCGAGACTGATAGGTCCTAGGTTTGAATCTCACGGGTCGGGATCGTGGATTTTTACTAGTGAGGAGTCTCACAATTGGACGAAACGGCCATCTATTGCTTCAAGGTTCTCAATGATGATTTAGCTTAATAAACTATTTTACCATATCATCATACTCGTTGTTTATTCGTTGTTTACAACATCATTTATACCATACAAACTGATTATTTATGCATTATGTATAAAGCAATTTTCATGATTACCAATTTGATAAAACAATATTTCAAAGTTGTATATTGAGAAGTATATTGAAACTGCACTTATATTAATGATATTAAATAAAAGGACAATGGTCAAGTTATGATTGATTGATTCATCCAAGAGGATCATTTCATTTGTCAGAGTTATGAGATAAAATTAAATATGAAGTGAATTTCAATATAGAAAGGTTGAAATTAAAAGTTCGCAGTTACTCACTTACTTAGTTACTTGCTCACTTACTTACTTACTTACTTACTTACTTAATTAATTAATTAATTAATTAATTAATTAATTAATTAATTAATTACTTGTTTTCCTGGTTAGTGTTTTTTTAGCGATTTAGTTTTCTACGGAATGGGGTCACTAGCCCTATGGTATTATTAAATCACAACTCATAGTAGAAATATATTTTGCTCTAGTCACTTGAAATTCAATCATAAACACATAGTCCAAGTTAAAAGAAGCAGGAAAATTCATTGATAAAGATTACTAGTGTAGTATAATAAAAATTCTAATTTATAAGTAAAACAAGTGACTCTGAAGTCAGCTTTCTCGCATCTCATTAAAATTTCCTAATCACATTCTACATGAACATCCATATATAGTACAAATATTTGCTAGCCCACGATCTGACTCCAATAAGATCGTTTCTAATTACTATTGAAATATACATATCGTCATTCATCGTATATAATTATCGACTTAGATCGCGTTAGTGAATAACGGAATTGAATAAGTCAAATACGAGAATGGATTTCCCAATATATATATATGTTGTATAGTCATTGATCGGAACTGATATTCAAAGAGATGTAGCGAAGATGAGAGAGCGAAACCCCCTCGCAATGGAGAAGGCATGTGAACCAACTTCATTTAATGAAGCGTTTATCAATATTCATAGTCACATAAAAATAAGCTACAGACATGTGGTAAGTAGGATAAAAAGTGTTCACAAATACGGTTACATAAAAATAGTCAAGTTTGATAAGTGAACAATTAACAAGGTTAAGATGTAACTCAAATAGAATGGATAAAATGGTTTGTCCAGAAGCTAGAATAATGTATATAGGCTTAACATAGTGACTGACACTACAAGATATTTAAGTTTCAGAAATCAGTAAACTTATACAAAGAGTAAAATAAGTCACAACATAACCATCATCCATGATATACATTGGCCACAGCAAAAATTGACCGTTTATTCAAAGACAAAAAAGAAATACTTGAGGATTCTTCTTCAACAAATATTTCCCTAGAATTGCATATTCAATCTAATTTAGTTAGAACTACTAAATCAGTTGAAGATTGAACATTCAATAAAATAGTACTGGTAGTAGTAGTATTCGTTGAATTCAAATTTCTTAAACCTGTCATTGAAGATAACCACATTAATGTTAAAAATAAATTCCACCAACAATTGTAAAGAATTCCAGCTGCTAATACTAAATCCATTTGATGATATCGAAATGTACCACCTCCAAATACCATCTTCATTTCAAATAATAATTTCTATGAAAAATAAATTATAAATATATGTGTAAATATACATATATGTACAATGAGATGAGGAATCATTGCACAATTATTCTTCATACGATCATTCAATTGACTAAGACTTCTGAACCAGTTGATCAGGTACTGAATTCATGATCATGTTAAATAACTTACATAGAAGATTTTAAAATACTAAGATCACTTCTATACATAAACTAGTTGTTAAGGTGTATATCGATTTGTATTATCCTCTCTCCAATTTCCTTTTTGATTTGCTTGTGTTAAACTAAACATCAATTATGTAGTCAGTATTAGATGATTTTATGCATCAGTAATATCATGAACAAATGGAATAGCTTATTTGAAAATATCCAGTTCTCACTAAAATATGAGATTCAGTCAGTTGTCAAACAATTTAGAAGTAGTATTAGTAGTATTATGAATGTTGTGGAGATTTCTGGATGTTAGTAAGATCACGAATTGATCCAAGTTAGGAAACCATATGAAATTTGGAGTCCTCATCAGTTCCTAACCATAACCCCATCATCGGGATCATACTGAAAACATTTGATCTTGTACGACGACGTATAACCTCTAGACCACTTAGCCAGAATTCAATGATATGTAAGTTTAACTTCAATCAATCTACGACATTATGTGATCAACTTCACAAGTTCAAATGGAGTATTGGGAAGCCTTCAAATTTCTAATAGTATTGATTATATAATTATGAAAGAGGAATTAAAAATGAATGTATGTTATGTAAAATTGACTTTCAAACAATATGCGTTTGATAGTTAGTTGAGGATGTTCCACCAAATGTAAAAACAAAAAGAAAACAGTTGACTTACAAAGACTGTTAATGGAAATGTAATTGCACCAGCAATAACTAGTACAATCTAATAAAAAATAGAAAGAAATAGTGTGATGAAATAAGTTTCAGGCTATCGAAAATCAATAAAGCGAGACAACTATTGATTTAATATGTAGCAAAAAATAAGTATGAGCAATTGAGCATATAATGTCATAAATCCCTTTCTACTAAACGTTGATTAACAGACCAACTTTCATTAACACAAACATTAACTCAGTTTTTTCAATCAGTCGAATGACAAATGAAGTTTGTTTTGAGACAGTGGAGTGGATTTTCATTCTCTGATCTGAATGGTTTACACTGAAATCATCCAGCTCAAAGAATGAAATTTCACGAAAATTTTACTTTCTTCACTGATTAACATCAACTAACTGAATATTATCAATCCAAAGTGTCATTGAACAACTATTTTGTATCAATTTCAATAGTTGAAATGAGTCAGTTCAAGGGTAAACCACCATGGAAAATCTGAAAGCACTGGACGGCCGTTTCGTTCTACTGTGAGACTCCTCAGCGGTGCGTATCCACGACCTCACATCGCGGGATTCGAAACAAGCACCTCGCGCACGAGCGCTTAACCACTAGACCACGGTGTTAATGTCTAACTTGATGGTGGTCTCGCTTCAACTGACTCATGATCACAACTATTGAAATTGCTCCAATCTCCACAAAACCCCTTCTGGTACTTTGTATCAGTTTAACATCCTACAGGAATATAAACGCACAAACATCCAATAACTATATATAATTCAGAGCTTTTAGGTGTACCAACGAATAAATGACCGACAGGAATTTTAGCTAGTATCCAATAGACTATATGTTCAACTTCGATCTAAGAACATTAGAATCAATTAAGTTTTTACATCAGTTACAAGTACTGGGTAGTGATAAAAGG